TCATTATATTCTTCACTTGCTTTGCCCCTCTTTTTTGTTCTACCTGACTTACTGACTGGCTTTCCCAACTTAGGGTGCCCGGTCTGATATAGATTCCTATAATATATATCAAAGTTCTATTAACTTCTATACTTTTGGTTGACTTCTAGTTCATGGCTTATGGCTAAGCCACCCCAACTTAGGGGTACGCTTAGTCTTATGCCTTTTCCCCCCTCAGAAGAAAACACACACAGAACGGGGTCTACACAACTTAGAATATCCTCAGTCCTGTTTTCAGCAACCCAAACAGAAACATCAGGATTCTGAGCCTTCCCAACTTGGGGCGCCCGTCCTGCTGTTCAGAAACCCCCGAAAGAAACAGCGATCGGACCGTCCAACTTGGGATAGGCCCAGTCCTAAAAAATCATACAGTCAGCCCAGCAAACATAAATAAACATAGCACTGAGCCCACATTAACTTAGAGGAGCTTAGCCTTGGGTTGACCCGGTCAAAACATGCATAACACCTTCCTCCCACCTTCCTCCAATTCCTTTGTCTGAATTCACTCAAAATTATCTGAACTCATATATATCTGTTCATTTAGCTTTTCGCAAAACATGTCCTGACATACATAACAAAATAAAAAAATAATAATCTCTCATAGTTATACTTAGATACCCAAAGGAATAACAGTTAGGGGAAGGGATCACATGCGTCAGACGAAATTATACCTGAAGTTCCCTGCCTCCAGAACCCCGCCTGGGTCCGGCAGAGCTCCCGCAATCGGTGGGGCGAACCTCCTACAGAGGCCTTGGCGCAGTCCTACGGGTTGCAATCCCGCCTGCCGCCTTCCTCTCGTAACCTCAAATTAGACTTAGATTAAGAAAGATAGAAAGAGATAGGTTAGACTCTCGAGATCCAAGAGTGGGACAACTCAACTCACAATGAGAGGGCCTTGAAATCTGGATGCGCCTGAGGGCCCCGCAATGGTGGCCAAAATAACGCAGTCGGGACGGTCCGATTGTGACCAACTCAAAATAACAGCCCCCCTGACGGGCCTCCAACAACAATGAACTCCCTTGCGATGCCCGGTCTCACCCCCAAAGCCACAACACTCCCCACTTTCATTGTGCCCCTTTCTTAGGCCTATGTCGTTGCTGCTCTTAGTGAGGAACAGCGTCCTGCTCTGCAGCAGCACCCCAAATTAGTGCCCAGCACAGCAACAGTGCCCAACCTGTGTGTGGTGGCAGCTTGATTCAGCAGCAGCCAGCACCTTAGGCGCACGGTAAGCACTTAACAGATACACAGCAAGATGCACAGCATGAATGATATCCTACACATCAATCCGTTTACGGCGAGGACTAGCGTCCCAGGGAGGTACCGCAAAGGCGCACAGCCAAGCGGCGCTGCAGCGGCTTCACAAGGGCTTCTGTGTCAAAAGTCGAGAAAACAGCAGCGCAGTGCCCTGCAATCAGCACTAGCAGTTCGCCGTTGTTGAGAGTAGTAATCAACACCGCCTGAATGCTCAGCAACAACAGTCCTCTGTAGACAAACCAGCAATGTCCACATGCTGCATCCCAACAGCAACTTGAAGATTCGAGCATACCACTTACTCCAACTCAGTTTGCCGTATCCGCCCGCCCAATCGACAGCTAGCAGCACCAACTAAATGCACAGCAGCTTGGCAGCCAACGTTAACAGCAAACGATGGTTCTTTGTAGCAGCAACGTCTCCCAGTTGTACCTGGTTTGACTTAGCCAGCCGTTTCCCCGATGACGGCCCTCTACAAGGTACCAGTAATGCAGGCTCCGTTGTCACAGACGCAGGTCTCTCCAAACACGGTGTTTCTCAAATGCATCCGATTGCAGCCAAGGCCAGGATCTTTGCGACAAAATAGACCACCACACCTTCTCCGCCTGCTCGCTAGCACTTCTTCTTCAAATTCCACCTTACTAATTCAGATTAATCACTACTAGCTAAATTGCTCAAAGTTGGAATCAGATACGGCCGTTTTGGGAGTGTGGGAGTGACTACTGATAAAGACACATCTGTTTGTGCCTATGGATGGGTATGACCACAAACGCAGCTGGTCGCGTTCACATATATCCGCACGAATGGACAATATGGTGATGCCACTACGACTAGCAGGATGGTAACGAGCGCCGCGATAGAGGCACGACCATTACGACAGCACTGAGTCGGGTTCACAATGCAGAGTATTAACAACTGTGCGCCTGTAACAGATCTCGGCGGTGATCAGCAAGATCGTCACGATGGAAACAGGCATTGCACACAGCAACCAAAGTCGGGCCAGATACACTTATCTCACGTACAAGCTAGAATCAATCTTTCGCTTGAATCATGGGGAGATACATTGCTTCCCAACCACACGCGCAGAAAGACAGAGAGGCTACTCCCATCGATAGATCGAGCAAAGTTGGAATATACCTTAGTCAAAACATGGAAATATACACTGCTTTCCATCCTTACGTAGCTCGCCATTTGGTTCATCCTACATCGCCAATTCATATCGACGAGTTCTTATTCTCTCTCTCTTTCCCTTTGATCACTTGATCACTCATGCACACCTCCCCACTGCTGCCTCTAGATAAGGATGAATCTTCCTTTTCATAGCGACTAGGTGCCATTGCTGGCTGAAAACCCAGCCTGTCAGTGCCCCGACAGGTTTCTGTTTTCACGCCTATCGAGTCACAGCGGCTTGGTGAGTCTCCGACCCCACGGCTTGGTTTGGCTTCTATTCCAACGAAGCAATGAGCAAATCGAATGAATCTTGTGCTAAAAGTCGGTCAGGTTCATAGTATTTTAGAAGTCGCTCCTCTCCCAGGCGCAACCCACGTCTCATATATCACAGAAACTACCTCGTTATCGCGGAAACCGAATTTGTCATCGGATTCGCAGCCATTCCAAACCCTTACTTCATAACCTCCTCCGCCTGTTTTCACTGAGAAGAGAATGAAAAGAGGGCTTTCCTGCTTACCTCCGTCCTCGCTCCCACCATCTCCACGCAACTCTATCTCCCTACTAACTCTCATTCTACTCCACTAATCCCAAAACTAACCATACCATTGGAATCGCCCCTCCTAAAAACCCCTATTCCGACCTCTACCCCACTCGATTCCATTAAGAATCGAGTGGCATCTCGATTTCTTCTTCTCGTCTTCCTTCTCCTCCACCATAGCCCCGGTGCACCATCTTCTTTTCTTCCTCTCCCTACACTAATCCTTTCACTATTCTAACATCTCCAATAGATTCGGGATGCTTGAAAACCCCCATTCATCATCTTCCCTCGCTCATATCCTTGGAGTCTCGCAAGATCGGCCTTCTTCTAGCTGCGCCCGGCTTGTCCTTCCACCATCCCCCTTTTTGAATGTACCTGGCGCCTTTCCTCGTCCAGGTTCACTCAACTTTCCTCTCCCCTTCCTTAGTGCCCCGACACTCTACCCTGGCGCTCGTCGTTCCTCTCCTACCCCCTTCTCTCTCACCTACGTCGTCTTCCCCTTCGCTAATCCCCCTGCTGCCCTTATAGCGCAGCGCCCAGCGATCAGCTCGGTCGAGGGGACGCGTAACAATCGGCAGCCCACTGCATGCCACACCAAGCCAAGGTGTCGGGCTGCTCTCCAACTTTATACGTGCCACCCTTGCGCAGGGGCCATGCTAATCTTCTCTGTATCGTTCCAATTTTAACGGTTGTCCCGAAGGACTGCTTCTTGGGCAGAGACCCAGCATCGTCGGGTCTGCTGCCTCGGGACAGCTGCATCATCTGGGTTCGAACACAGGTCTGCATTTTAACAGTTCAATGTTGTATCCACTAAACAAGGCTCGCTGGTTCACGGCCGGTCCTGAGACTGGTACCGGACCACGTCCCGTAATGGGACCTAAATAATAAGTAAAATAATAATAATAATAATAATAACTAAAAATTTAAGAAAAATTATGAGAAAACGGAATAGGGGAGGAGGGCCGTTGGTACTTGGTTCTTGGTCCTCCTTCGCGGGCCCGCGGTCGGATCCCCCCAACAAAACTAAGTGAGACAGTCCCGCGGGACCCTCAACCCCTCAGTTACCTTCCAAACTGCGCTCCTTCGCTCCTTCGTTGCCGGCTGCTGGCCTCGATCCCGGAATCTGCAAGGTGAAAGTCTAGTGCTGTAACCAATAGGGCTAAGCCCAAGCCTGGTTGCAGCAGGCGCAACTCTCTATATAACGAGTAACTGTCGCCTGCCTGGGCCTGCAGAAGTGCGCCAAGGCCTCCGCTTGGCTTACTACCTGAGCCGAAGAGCCCGCCTGCGCGTGCTTGCTGCTTTAGAGCGCAAGGCTTTACTCGGCCTGCCACGCACACTGCCCAGTCACGCTGCGGCTGCGGCCGAGGCTCTCATGTCCCGCTGCACTTCGTCACAGAGAACCCCCCCTGTGACTTGCCTCTTTCTTTGAACGGCCGCCCTTTTACCGTCTCCACCCCGAAAACTCACGGCCCTCACTTTTAGTTTGGGCCATCCTTGCTTGGCTTCAGCGGCGGCTTCTACCATTGATGGCGCATGGCCAACCTAGTGCCCGCATAACTTCACACGGTGCTGCCCTGAAACGTCGGTCTCCGGTAGGTCAGACAACATCCTCTTCTAGTCACAGCCTTACCTGGTCAACTCCGCGCTGCCCATAATTTCGTCCGCGCGTGCAAGGTTGCGACTTCCTCCAAAATTCTAGCCTAGCACTTACTTGTTCTACCGGCATGTCATAGCCTTCCATTGATCAAATGTTCGGTCAAGCTAACGAGTGCCCACAAAGTGCACACTCACACACTCTCTAATCAACTCAGAGCGTATGTCACTCCCAATCCCTGAGGATTGGTTGTGGCTGCACAAAATGGGACACCCCCCTAGATACCGTCACAGAGCGTACTTCCTGTAAGCTGCAAAAAAGGCGCCCAAATACCCTTGTAAGGGTATTCGGGCCGACACCGTGCTCCTGTCCCAGTTCTGAGGACTTGACCCAAACTCTCTCACCTACCTGAAACGTAGACGGGCGGCGGTGCTTGTTCTCATATTCTATCATCGCTGCCTGAGCCTTGTGCATCTGTTCAACAGCCTGCTGCATCAGACACTCATAACGATAAGCAAATTCTAAGGTTCCTGGTGCAGCAGATGGTTGGTTCTCAGGTAGTAAGAAATCTAAGGGCAGTCTAGGCTTCAAGGTTAGTAATAGGCTGTTAGGGCTTACTCCTGTTGCGATGTGCACAACGTTATTGTACAGGCTGGCGATGAGAGCAAGTTTCTCATCCCAGTCTACCTGATTAGGTTTGATGTAGTGCCTCAGCAGGTGTTGTACAACGTGGTTCAACTGCTTTGCTTGCCCATTCGCCTCTTGATGGTTCCCTGATATCATCTGCAGCTGTGTTCCCTGTTCTGCAGCTGCGGCCTTCCACAATTCACTAGTAAATCGCACATCACGGTCACTGACTATAGACTTTGGCAGTCCAAAATCTCTGACCCAGTTCTCTTTGAACAGTTTAATCACAGACTTCGTTTTAGCTGTTGTCGGCATTGCGACTAACCTAGCGTACTTGCTAAATCTATCCACAATGACATAGACGTAGCGCATTCCACTCTTGCTGGTGACCAGCGTATCCATGAAGTCCATGGACAAACTCTCACCAGGCCTTTCCGGAATCGGAAGGGGCTTCAGAAGCCCAAGAGGAGCCTGTGTACTTGGCTTGTCCCTCTCACAGACCTGACAAGTCTCCACATACAACTTCGCGTTTTTCATCATCGTGGGCCACCAGAACCTCTACAGCAGATTGGCTGCAGTCTTTTTATAGCCAAAATGTTCGGTGGCATCATGACACTCTCCTAGAAACAAACTACGCAAAGACTCCCGATTAGGTACACACGAACGTTTATTCCTGGCCTTCTCAAGGAACAGCAGGCCGTTGACCAACTCAAACTCGACAGAAGTCCCCTTGTCCTTCGCCTCGAGTCTGCGTATGATCTCGCACATGAACTGGTCCTCGCGATAGGCTTCCACCAAAGAGCGAGTGGCATCGTCCGCAAGCCCGAGCTCAGTGATCAGCGCACCAGAGAAGTCAGGCCTACGCGATAAGGCATCAAAAACTTTATTGTACTCCCCCTTCAGATACTGGGGTTCGAAATCATATTGTTCACTGACTTCGATCCAGCGCTTCAAGGCATCGGAGAGCACTGGCTGGGTTCTCATCCCCTTCAAGGTATGATGGTCAGTCCTGACGATAAAGAACCTCCCAAGGAGGTAATGTCTCCAATGGGCCAATGCCTTATAAATCGCGTAGAGCTCCTTCTCATAGGTGGACTTAGCCAACTTCTGAGACGACATCTTTTTGGACATGTACTCGACTGGCCTCAACTTTGGCCCCTCCTGCTGCGCAAGCACGACACCAATGCCATATTGGCTGGCATCCGTGGTTACTATGAACGGCTTGTCAGGATCAGGAAGTTATCAGACCTCATGGTGTGTCAAAGCATGCTTCAAATGTCTGAAAGCAGCCTCGCACCTGTCTGTCCACTCCCACAGGGTGTCAAGGCGAGTCAGGTCAGTCAAAGGGGCGGCCACTATTCTATAGTTCTTAACAAAATTGGGATAATAGTCGGTCATCCCTAAGAAGGACCTCATCTCAATCACAGACTGAGGTCGCGGCCAGTCACGAATGTTGGCCATCTTCGCGTCATCGGGCTTCAAACCCTCCGTGGAAATCTCATGACCCAAGTACAAAATCCGGCTGCGATCAAACTCGCATTTCTCACCGTTGATCTTGAACTTGTGCTGCCGAAGGAGAGTGAGGACTTTGTCTAAGTGTGCAACATGCTCCTCGACAGTCCTACTAAAACTAAGTATGTCATCGAGGTACACGATGACAAACTTATCCAAGCAGTCATGAAGGATCAGATTCATAGCGTGTTGAAAGGTGCCAGGAGCATTGCAAAGGCCGAAAGGCATCACCACAAACTCGTACAGACCGTACCTGGTCTGAAAACCGGTTTTGTGTTGATCCTCGGGCCGTATTCCAATTTGATGGTACCCGGACTTCAAATCTATCTTACTGAAGTATCGGCACCATTGCACTCTATCTAACAAGTCATCGATGCGCGGTAGGGGCTCTCGATTCTTAACAGTGATGGCATCGAGGCCCCTATAGTCAATGCGCATCCTCAGGGTCCCCCCCTTCTTTGGTACAAATAGGACTGAAGATCCATAAGGGGAGACACTCGGTCGGATCCAACCCTTCTCTACGAGTTCCTTGAGCTGCCGGCGAAGCTCATCAAGCTCGCCTGGAGACATCCTATAGATCCTACCCTTCGGGATGCTAGACCCTGGGATAATTTCTATCGCGTGGCTCTTCGAATAGATCAGGGTATTTAGCGACTACTCCCTCTATCTCCGGCGGCATTTTCACCGGCTCGCCTGCTGCAGAGATATAAACTAGATACATACCCGCCTCCAGATTTTGCTTATAATAATTATAAAACGCGGCCACACACATGCATCTGTAGGACTCGATCAGACTACTAGCCTTAAACTTACGTAATCTGGCGGTCCCCCCACCTGGCAAAGTGTGCTTGACCACTTTTCGGTCCCAGTCAAACTGGGGCTGTGCAACCAAAAGATAGTACATACCCAACAGAATGTCCATTGGGAGATAATCGTTGACTAGGAATGAGGCGTGATGCCTTAGTTCCCATCCCGCGTACGGGAAAAGACACTCAATGTCTTTGAGGTAGTCATTGACTACCATGCGCCGTTTGTTGGTGCACGTCGACTCCACGGGTCTACTCAGGCGCAGCACTTGCCCCTGTAAGCGCAGCCTCTCAACGCACGCACGACTAATAAAGTTTCGCGTCGAGCAAGTGTCATAATAGGCCCCGGCCTTGCGGCCGCCGATGACTACCTCCCGACGAACATCTCACTCTTAGGGGCTTTAGCCAATGCCATCCAAGAAGCTAGCGGGTCTTATCTAGACCACTACTCCTCTAGCTCCTCTAAGGATTCAAACACATTTGTCGAACAGAGGCTCGATGAGTCTGAATGTGTTTGCGGGATGACAACAGAGTCAGTAGCTTGGGCCATCTCTCTAGATGGTGAGGGTGTGTCCACCACCTTGACCCTGGCAGGAACAACTTTTATTCCTGCTGGTCTGACGTGTTTCCCGGAGCTATGCTAGAACTGCTGGCCACATTGCTACCAACGGGGGCGGAGGATCCTAACGCCTGCCCCATCGTAGGCGGGATCTTCTCGATCGCCTTCTTGTTGCGGCACTTGAATTGGTTATGGCCATACTGACCACAACGAATACAGGCCTGCCTGGCCATATTGACCACAACGAATACAGGCCTGCCTGGTGCACCGGTCTCTCCACACGTTGTCGAGCGCATTGGTCCAACACCGCGCAAACGGGGCGGGACCCTCCCGGCCGCGCCACGAAGGAGTTGGTCTGAATCCTCGTCGCGAACACACATGGAGCTTCCGCAAGTCGCTCCGGCCGACTGCGCCAGCCATACCTCTCGCGAACCCCTACGATAGGATAGGGCAAACACGAGGCACGACTTACCTCCACCTTACGGGAGTTGTCACCTCCCTTCGGTGGGCGTATCCCCGTCGAGCTACCAATCCACAGTACGAAAGCTAATCAGTTGCAATCGCAGAGGTGGACCAGCCGAGGGCGTTTCTCGTTCGTCGTACCCTAGGGGGTATGTGCGGTTTTACGCCTCTATCGGACCCGCATGCTAACCGGCGCCTTGGGGGGCTGAAGTCGCAAGCGCGACTTGTCGTTGGTCGACGAGGACGCATCCCACACACCACGCGTATACCACACTAAGAACATAAAAATTAAAACACGCACGCACACGCACATATACATAACGACACTGAACAAACAACGCGACAACACTCCTAGTCTTTTCTCTTCGATACGGAAATCGGATAGGCGACGCGCGCGAGACTTAGTATAAAACCGCGCGGACACAGGGCTAACTCATATCGACTCGCAATGCATGCAGCAAGCAGTCGAAATGATGGCGTACTATGTAGTACCCATACTCATGTGGTCCTCGTTAATCTCGAGGGTCGCATTGGACACTCAAATGTCGGCTGACACGCGCCTTGAGGGATTGATCTCTTGACGCTGGACAACTGCCAAGTGCGGTTGGGAACCACACCCTCTTCTACACCCTACGGAGAATGGGTGGTATACAGGTTCATACCTGTGGTGGCAATCGTCTCTTATCTCCCTGGAGACCAGCTCCCTCAGCGGGGACTTGTCATCAGGTCAAGGGGTTTGACTTTGACGGTTGCCACGGACTCCAACGTCCGACTATAAAAATTAACAAGCAAAATCGGCCAGAAAAATAATCAAGCATCCCAATACCTATATATCAAACCAGGGCTTGAGGTAAAGTAAAGAAAGGGGGGACATAAACCCATTAGGTATACAGCTCGTGCGACACATGGTTGTCATTCTCACTGCCTCCAAAGTAAGGCTCGTAACCTGTATAAAACACAGACACATACGAACGCCACATTGCCATACACCAATGTGGTCAACTTTACTGTTCCCTGTAACTCACACCATGCCTCACACACTCAAGCCCCGTCAGAGTCAAACTTTCCATAAATCTCATAAGTTCTTTATAATGGCTATTGAAAGAAGTCTGGCTAAAACCCTCAAAAAAACATATCAAATCTCAGGGCTAAGGCATCGAGTTGAGGTACAGGTAGCAAAGTTGTGTCGTGAGCCGACAAGTCGGTAATCAACCAACCGACTTGTTATCAGTGATAATAGAAAATGATCCTCGTACGATCAAAGTTGAAATTTAATCCAACCTTGAATCGAATCAATCAACGAAGGACCTGTAGCACAAAACAGTTCAATTCCCAGACTAAACTTATAAGTGTATGGAGAATAAATCCCCATGTCACGCTCTCACTCAAAATCGTTTTTTGAACTAAGTCTTAGTCTACCTGTAAGCCAGTGCCCAAAGGAACGTAGACTTATGGCAGAATCGTCCCCTTACAGGATGGATTGCCAAAATCGCCACCTGTCAAAATATAACCTGTCTCTTATAAACTAAGAAATTTCGGTAGCGCTTCCCGTAGGAAACGTGCCTTCGCAAAATTTATACTAGCCCAAATATGAAAACAAAAATAAACTTCAACTTCAAAAAGTCAAATTTTGTTTAACTCCCTGAATTAGGAAAAATTTGGGCAACACTCCCTTTAGAAAACGAGACTTCCCAAATTTTTACTAAGCCATATACAGAATTTAGACAAGTTGAACTTTTAACAAGTCAAAATTTTGACTAACTCCTTGGATTTGCAGAAATTTCGGCAGCGCTTCCCGTAGAGAAAGTAACTTACCAAGATTTCTACAAAGCCAAGTATGACAAATGATCCTAGAAAATGCGAAAATTGACCTAAGTAAAATAAAGCTAGCTCAGAAAATGCAGGAATTGAAACTAACTCCTATAGCTCTAGCACGTGGCGAACAACTAAAGCAACTACCTATCAAATTGAAACTGAGACCAAGTAGTGATCTCACTCAGCCACATGCAAGGCCAAACCACAAAGAGTAAGTACTCTCACCATTCCCAAGTAAAAATCCTCATAGATAGTTCATGAAACTTTCAGATGGTTTAGCCCTTATACCCAGCTTACATATGGCATGGTGCTAGACCATTCAGCTTAGAAACAATGTCTAGCATGCCTTTAGAGTATACACGAACAGGTTGCACAACTACTCTTCTCTTCTTTGGGCATATGGCTAGACCATTCAGCTTAATAACAATGCCTAGTCGCCCTGAACTTGTTTAATATCCAAAGTCTAATAATTTTCTGACTTTGTTTTCAAAAGAAATGAAAATATGGGCAGGGGACTGATCCATTCAACTTAGAAACCATGCTCAACTTGCCCAGATTATTTCCAATCATACTTTTGCTTTTTCTTCTTAATGATATGGCTTAGCGCTGGACCATTCAGCTTAGAAACAATGTCCAACTGTCAGTTCACATGCAAGTATAAGTAAAGATACTTCATTTTATACTCGGTTTATACTTATGTGCGTGGTTTTCAGGCTAAACCATTCAACTTAGAAACAATGCTTAGCCTTAGACCAGAAATCCTCCCTAAAAAATAAACAAAAGGTTGAACCATTTAGCTTAGAAACAATGCTCAGCCTATCCTCAAACCATTCAAAGCATGAAGTTGGATTCTTTAGTCCAACTTCAGTCCGAAACCCGAAAAGAAACAAACAGACCAAGCCATTCACTTAGAAACAATGCTTGGTCCCACAGATCAGTCAGGCAAACCCTCATAAATAAACACAGCAACCAGACCATTCAACTTAGAAACAATGTCTGGTCCTTCAGAA